ATGATCGGCCCAAGAAGCCCCCAAGGCGGCCCAAGAGGGCCCCAGGACGGCCCAAAACAGTACCAAAAACGCCCAGACCGCGTCCTACTACGAAATACGTCGAGCTGACCCGACGATCTTGGTTCCACGCTTGAGGCTCGAGGTTTCAGTTCCTCGATCGAGAGAGACAGCCATGGATCTAGATTCAAAGATCGAAGATTTCCTGGGTGCGTGGGGTCCACCAGGCATTCAGGAAGCGATGTTCGGAGCTACTGCGATTTCCTCGGCGTGTCATGAGGACGCCCCTTATTTCCTCTGAGGTCTTTCGCGCGCGAGAAAGTCATCATTCCTTCCCCACTCCTGCGTACAAGCGTGCAAACGCATCGGCCGAACGCGGCGTCAGCAAGCACCAGGGTTATCAGAAAAATGAGCCGGTCGCCGGTGCAGGCCTCGAGGTCCCCCCTGCTGAAGCAAGCGGTGGTTCATTGTTTTGCCAGGGAAGCGTTCGGAACCAGGCGCATGGCGCGAAGCGCCAAGACAGTTTGGTAGGCGTATATATAATTACATATGTATGTATATTTGTATTTGTGAATGTTTTTTTGGAATGTATGTATGCGTGTGTGTATATATATATATATATATATGTTTGACCCGAGCGCAAGGACAGACGGGACAAGAAACAGCGATGCCAACCTCGCAATCCTACATGATATACTCCAGTCGGCGAGTGCAAAGGCTGCGGTTACGCCGGGGTGCTGTTTGCGACCTGCGTCGGTTGGGGCGTTTGGGGCTTGCACTCGTCGGGCCGTTTCGGGGCGCTGCGGAGAACTCTGTTGAGGTCTTCGCCCGAAACCCAGGGTGCGGGTTGCAAACCACACCGTTTGCAAACCACACCCTTCGGAGGCATTCGGATACAACCCAGTTCCAGTATAAGGGGAGACGGTGAGTGATTGGGACCCGGAACCGACGGGCCGGGAGGGCGTCCCCGGGTGCAAAGAGGTAAACCAGGCCAGTCTTGCCAACGCACGAATGAGGCATCGGATTGTCCCCAAGGCGACGATACTTCAACGCCCGCGCCATTCACAGGGCGGTCTAGGGCGCGGCACTGAGGCGTCGGAGTGTCTCCAAGACGGTTGTGGGTGTTTCAACGCCCGCGCGATTCGTGGGGCGACCTGGGGCGCGGGCGATTAAGAACGTGACGCAGGCGGCGCATCAGTAGGCGAGGTGCGGGAACCGTTCGGGCCGCTTGCCAGATCCGGAGGCTTGTGACATAGATGGAACGGCCCCGCAACGTGTCCCCCAGGATGGCCGCAGGACCCGGGTGTGTATACGGTCGGAAAGAGATATGAGATCGAGGTCGGTTCGGGGAGGGGGCCCTCATGCTGTTCGTGGGTTTTGGATGATTTGGTGCATCCTGGGGAAGGTACCCTAGAATGTTTTGTGTGTAGTGGCCAGCGGAGAGTTTCACGTTCTTGAACATGTTTTTCCGTCCCTGGTCCGGCTGTATATCTGGCGTTGCCCACGATTTGTTTCCTTCGTTTTCGCCCGCTGTTGCCACGGTCGGATGAACCTCCGACACTTCTGGATGGAACGCACCCGGGGAGGCGTGTCAGGGGGGGTAGCGGCCCCGTTCTTTTGTTGTCCCAGGGACCGCCTAGCTTTTGGAAGACGATTGATGGATCGGTGTGTTCGAATGCAGAAGAGGAAACAGGTTCCGATACCGCTTCTCTGTTCCGCTTTCTTTTGTTTGTTTAAGTTTTCCGGCCGTTTTGGGAGGCTTTCGTCGCCACCGCTGGCTTCCCCTCGAAATTCTGGCCATGACACACACACTCCAGGAGAATCCAGGGAGTAGCGGTAGCGATCCCCTTTGGGTCCCCAGAACACTTGAGAACGACATAGGCGTAAGTTCTAGGATCGGAATTGGGCCCCACTTCCCCACACCCTGGGCGGCGCCTCTGGCGCCGCCCCCGCGTGAACGACATGAATTAGTGGGAGCATGGTTGTGACGAGCGTCTTTGCTGAAACACCTTGCATACGCACAGCCATCGGAAGTTAGCGCATGATCATGAGACAGGGATGCACTTATGGGAAATGTGGCATGCCAGAAGCGGTTCTGACTGGAGTGGGACGAAGAGATGAAGGCACGATTTGCAATGACAGGAGGGACGGGGGTGAGAAGACCAGAGTGAGGTGGATGGGAAGACATCCATGATCCATGTTGTTCTCCCCCGGTTGCTCCATCGCGCCTCCGTTCCCAATGCTCCCCAATCAGGCGGCGCTCAAGCTGCTCGGCGGGGGCGCCGACGACTGAACGCCCCCCTCGCCTCCCCCGCCCGCCTTGCACGGTCTGTGCCCCCCGTTCCGCCCTGCCCTTCCCCTTGCTTGTTTGCCTGCTTGCCTGCCGTCCCCCCTCTTCTCCGGGGCCCAAAGGCCGCGCGTTGGTGCTCAGAAGACCCAGCGCTGGTGAAGCCACCTGTTTTTCCCCTTCCCCTCCGCCTCCCTCTCCTCGTCGCTCTCTTCCTCCCCCGCTCCTGAGCGTTTGTCCCGCGGCGGCGCCGCGTTTTCGAGCGTGCAGATGGCGCCCTGCGCGGCGAACAGCTTCGGGGAATGACCTTCGAGCTGGCAGCTCTCTGAGTGGGATCACGGACGCAGGAACGCATGGTTTCGCCCCCTGGCCGTGCTGGCGCAGATGCACGCTGGAGTTGTCCGCTTGTTCCTGCTTATCTGGTAACCTCCCTGCTGTCCCCTTCCCTCTCCTTGCCTCATCCTTGCGTCCAGCCGAGCGCGGGCGTGCAGGATGTTCCGAAGGGGGTCCACATTTCGCTGCTGCACGCCCAGGAGTGCGATTGCTGTGCCTGTCCTTTGCTTCCCCCAGCTGCTGCTGGTGGCCTCTCTTTTTTCCTCCTCCTCCTTTGCTTGCACTGCGTCGTGACCTTGCACGCGCCCGCCGCCCTGGCAGCGCGAAGTCGGCCGGGAGCGGCCGTCGCAATTTTGTCATCCTCGCGGTCTGGGTCAGGGGTTGCGGCCCGCAGGCCAGAGAGGCCCACCATTATATAGCCCAGCAAGGTTTGTCGTTTTATGTTCGGCTCCGTTGACAAGCAGGACAGGATCAGTAAAAGGAGCAACTTTATGCCGGGGAAACGTTTGGGAACAATGGCATGGCACGCTCAAGGGGGATAACAGGGGAGCAGGAAAGAGGGGGCGGGTGTAGGCTCGAGGACGCAACGGACATGATGAGTAGGAGACCCAGCGCGAAGTGGGAAGGAGGAAGGGGGCCGAAGACGAATATATAAGGAGGAAATGGGAGATGGACAACTGAAGGGAGGGGGACTGGGGGAATGCGGGGGGGGTGGCGGGGCATGCAGAGAAAGGGGGAATATTGCAAATGCAAAATCGGGACAGGGGAGGAGGGCGGATTACCTTGGCGTGGGTCATCGTTTGGGGCATCATTTTTGGGTGTGGGGACACGCCCTTGTGCTTTCCGCTCTGGCGGGTGTGACCTGGCCACGCTCTGCCGCGCTGCCACCGCCAACTTTACACGCCCGCTCAGCGCTGCCTCACACCGCCACGCCGCACGCCCTCACGCCACCACTATTCCCCTCTCTCGTTTTCCCTCCTTCGAGGCTCTGGTATCTTGTCCTTCCTATTGGAGAGGCCTGACGGCCGGTGCCGCCGACACTGATCGAAAGGGCTAGGAGTGGGAGGGATGGGAGGAGGAGGAGGAGGAGGAGGAGGAGGAGGAGGAGGAGGAGGAGGAGGAGGAGGAGGAGGAGGAGGAGGAGGAGGAGGAGGAGGAGGAGGAGGAGGAGGAGGAGGAGGAGGAGGAGGAGGAGGAGGAGGAGGAGGAGGAGGAGGAGGAGGAGGGAGGAGGAGGAGGAGGAGGAGGAGGAGAGGAGGAGGAGGAGGAGAGGAGGAGGAGGAGAGGAGGAGGAGGGAGGGGAGGAGGAGGAGGAGGAGGAGGGAGGAGGAAGGGAGGAGGAAGAGGAGGGAGGGAGGAGGAGGAGGGGAGGTGGAGGAGGAGGGGGAGGGAGGAGGAGGAGGAGGGAGGAGGAGGAGGAGGAGGAGGAGGAGGAGGAGGGGAGGAGGAGGAGGCGGAGGAGGAGGGAGGAGGAGGAGGAGGGAGGAGGGAGGAGGAGGAGGAGGAGGAGGAGGAGGAGTGCATCGTTTGTGTGCCCGCTCGAAGAAAGTGCGCCCCGGGAGTGTGATATTCTGACTTGGGACGTGCTCCCGGAAGAGGAAGAAGTGCATCTCGGGCGTGCCCGCTCGAGGAAAATGCGCCCTAGGGGGGTGGTATTTTGACTCGGAGCCCGCTCCCCAGGACGCCTCTGCGGAGGAGGAGGAGGAGGAGGAGGAGGAGGAGGAGGAGGAGGGAGGAGGAGGAAGGAGGAGAGGAGGCAGAGGAGAGGAGGAGGAGGAGGAGGAGGAGGGAGGAGGAGGAGGAGGAGGAGGAGGACCAGGAGGAGGAGGAGGAGGAGGAGGAGGAGGAAGTGCAGCCTGTGCGTGCCCGCTCGAGGAAAGTGCGCCCCGGCGGGCGTCGTATCTGCCCCGGGACCCCCCCCCCTCCCCCCCCCCCTTGCGGGGAAGGGATCAAAGGGAAGGGGCTTCCCTTCGACTCCACTAGGACGTCGTGTAATTTCGCTTTGGGTAGCGCGCTTGAGGAGGAGAGCCTTGGGCGGGGGAGAACGGAGACGACGGAGACGACGAGTCGAACGGAGAAACCCCTCACACACGCCGACAGGGTCGGCGGATTTCCTCGTCCTTCTTCGCGTGCTGTCGCTACCTATCGTAGTTTTTCGTCACCCAGCCGGTGGGAACACCCACTTGGGTCACTAGTTTGACCAACCCCCCAAAGGCCCGACCGGCCTTGTGGGGGGAGGTCAACGTTCGACGATTTGTTTGCCACCAGCGCTTCAGCGCTTCAAGGCCTCACTATCCTGACCCGTGGACTCGTCGGGCGAAGGGTAACATTCCTCGCGGCATCGCCAGATGGTGACCTCCACGCATTGTGGCGTCCCGCGGAGGCGGCGGCGGTCGCGTCGGCGGCCTCCGCGGGCGCTGCGGCAGCCAGCGTCGCCGACGCCAGTGGCGCCCAGCAGGAGTGGGGAGGTGGGGCGCCGCCGGGGTTCGCGGCCCTCCGAGATTGCCTGGCGACGGGGCAGGGCGAGCGGGCAGGGCTTTCTGAGAAGACAGGCGCAGATCCCCCTCGAGTCCCGAAAGCATCACGACCGACGGTATTCCACCAGTTTACAATCTAGACCGACAAGCCAGTTCTGGGCAACGTGTCGAGACCTCGGGGTCGACGTCATGCAAGAATCATGACGTCGTGGGTCTGGTGAGGAGGAGAAATGAGGTTCGGGGAATGAGGAGGAGGAGGAGGAGGAATGAGGAGGAGGAGGAGGAGGAATGAGGAGGGAAAGGGGAGGATGAGCGAGCAACGTGGAGGAGCGAGAAGGCATGCGGATAAGGAGCGAGGGCCAGGAGCAGGGCTCAGGGCTCAGGTACACGCGTGTAGGCCCCCCTCCCCCTGGGGCCGCTGGCCTCGCGGGTATCGGCGCGGCGGACACGTTTTGGACAATTTTCGGTACCCGGGGGCCGCTCTCGAGCACGGGGATAGTTCTTGCAGATTTCGTGATAAAGTGGGAGGGGGCTACAATCCTACTAGGCGAGCAGCCCGAGACCCCCCCAGACCAACCACGAAAAAGCGCCCCTTTGCCCAGACCCCACTGGAACCTTCCAAGATAGCTCAGATCAGACCCCACAAAAATCAGATCACCACCCTTCCATGGTGACATCCAGAATAATACAACAACTGATCTGGGGTGAAAACGGCTGCACCAGGTGGGCCCCGGGAGGGCTGCGGGGACAGATGTTGCGTGGATTTGGCCTCTTTGCCCGACCCTCGCCGATCCAAGATTCGGGCAACTCGATGGGCGGCGGGGTAGTGTTCGGAATTCGTCGAACCCTTGGCGCAATCCGAACCCTACCCCCCGCCTCCCAGGTACTCAGGAGAGTCGAGAGTTGGTGGGCACAGGGTTCGGATGCCGCCATCCAGGGATGCCGCCGAGGCTGCGGACGTCAGGGGGTCGGAACGGCAGGTGGGCAATTGCAGCATGCATCCACGTAACAACAATGGCATACATTGTAAGCGTTCCGAGGCCCAGCGGATTTCTTTTTTCAAAAACAACAAAGCCTGAGTCACTCGTGAGGTGCCAAGGCACCTCGTGACGGCCGCGCACGAAAGGACAGTATTTGAGCCAACGCCTGAACAGCCTCGTCAATGGCGATGGTTTCTGCTAGAAATGAAGTTACAGGGTCAGACATAAGCGTTCCAGCCTGAGTTACAAAGGACCGCGTGGGACTTCCTGGATCGGCATTGGGGCCCCCCTCCAGGCGCGCGGAGCGGGCCAGGGGCGGACCCCGGGGCGCAGCCCAGGGGGCGGCTTCAGCGCAGAGCCAAGAAGTCCACGCGGAGCTCCGAAGGGTACACCTTTGGCGATGCTTAAGAAAACTTACATTTTCGGCCAGAGTCTCGATTATTCTTAATGCTTCAATGCAAATCCTAAGATTTGAGTGGACATTTAGGGTTTTTATTCAAGTTCTGAGACTATGAATTTCTTAACCCATGATTTCTTAAGTATTTCGCAGGGTGTACTGCTTGTGTGTGTGTGTGTGCGGGGCAACTGCAGCACGCAGCCCGGGCGCGCCTGGTGCCTCGGGGCGACTCGAACAGCGGCTGCGTGACACTGGTTCGGTTCCCACTTCTTTCATCGCCCCCCTTCTCGATGATCCTCAGGACGTGCGTGTTGTGTGCTAGTTACCCCTTCTCATACGTGGTCTGAGCGGGCTCCCTGCCATTTCCTCCTCGCGCTCTGTTCTTTGGCCGTGCCTCGGTTCGCTCCGGGTGCACCCCGCCGCTTGCTTGACCCGCGTCTGACTGTCTTCGACCATTTGGCACCCGCCGATAGCAAGACGCCTGTGTCGGCCCGCACTGCACCGCCAGCGGCGTACTAAGAGGCTTCGGTTGCCACGCACAGGTCGGCGCTGACACACGTTCCGAGGATCATCGGCTCTTTCGATTCTTTTCCGAGGTGAACAGGGGGGTCCCGATCCCATGGCAAGCCATTGAGGCACATCAGGATCCACGGCCGATGCGCTGCTTCAAAACCACAGGTTGTCCTCGGCTGTCACGAGGGCCCGTGGGGGGCACTGGGCCCTCCTCGGCCTCCCTCTTCTCCTCGCCGAGTCGCGGCTGCCTGCCTCTCAACGCCTGCCTGGGCCTGGCAGGGCTGACGGCACAGGCAGCGTTATTGGCAGTCGTCCAGCGCGATGCGGCGTGGTTTTCTCACCCTGCTGTTCCCGGCTCCGGTCCAGTTGGTCGTTGTGGAATGGGGGTGGGGTCGATCGGCGGGGGGTGGGCCTCAATGGGGGCCCCCCGTTGGGGCCATAAGGGAACGGAAGGTGCATGCTTCTCTCAGTCATCGCTCCCCCCAGTAATATACGTGGCCTAAGAATACATGCCACAACCTCGCTCGCCCCCTCCCTCTCCCAGGACAGAGGAGAGGAGGAGGAGGATGAAGGAGGGAGGGGGAGATGGAGGTGGTGGTGGTGGTGGATGTATATTCTTGGGGCCCGCAAATCAGCAACGCCCGATTCAGCAGAGCACACGTATCTCCAACCTTGCAGGATCCAGGTGCCCGACGCCTGCCCCGAACTTTTCGGGGGGCGCCCTGCGCCTCCCACTGCATGCCGACGACGGCGGGGCTGAGAGAGGGCGAGCGGCCTTCGCAGGAGACCACCCGAGTTTTTTGAAACCCTCGACGGCCTTGTGAATCCCTGACCTCGATTGCTAAAACCTCCCCATCTTCGTCGCCATAGACTGTCTCGCGCTGTCTTCGAGGCCATGGTGTCACGCAGTGTTCCTCCCTCTCCATCGTGCTCCCTGCCCCTCCCTCCCTCGTGACGGCTTCCCACCTATCATGACGGCGTCAGTTGCAGCCCGAGGGGGCCGAGGCCCTCCCTTCGGTGCCTCAGCCAAAGGAAGACGGCCGTCAGGAGGAGGGCTGCCAACGTACCTCCACAACTCCTGCCACCATTCAGGGTTTTCCCTCCCTCCTGCCCTCGCCCGCTTCCCCCTCCCTGCCCCCCCCTCCTCCCCCCTTTCTGCGGCTGAGGAGACGAAGCGCCGGCGGCGCGGCCTCCTCGACCGAGCCGAGCAGGGGCTGCTGGCTCCAGGCGCGGTGCCACGCGGGGGGGGGGTGCAGCGAAGACGGCCACTGCGTCGATGACCACGGCCGCGGCTGAGGCCGGCCCCACTCGGCGGAGGGATCCGAACCCGACCCTCCCGATTCAAGATGCCGGCCACTCGATGGACGGCGGGGGTGGGGTTTGGAATTCGTCCTGCGCGTGGCGAAATCCAATCCCTACCCCCGCCTCCGATCGATTCCGGAGAATCGATGGTTGGTCGGGGTGGGGTTCGGATTTCGCCAGCTACCGCGGCCACCGGCCACGCGGCGGCAGCCACGGCCATCGGCTGCCAGCCAGGGGCCACGGCGGTTGCTGTGGCTGGCGGTTGCGTGTTTGCAGACGGAGCCATGGTCCCATGGGCTTTGCTGTCCGAACCCAGTCGGCTGCCGAGCGGGCCTGGGGTCAATCGACGAGTGCGCAGATTAATCGCAGGGGAGCCTCCAGGACGCGCACGCCGCTGGCATCTGAGGGCGGCTCCCGCATGGTTGCGCGCGGGGGCGTGCCCCCAGTTTCGCGGAAACGTTAGACTCGAGTTCGTCGAAGCTCGGGCTTGCCGAGGATTTTGACGGGCCCGCCCTGAAGTTTGACGGTCCAGCTTTCGTGGGATGCTTGCGGCGGGAGATCGCGTCAAATTTCAGGCTGGGCCTCGTCAGGCCAACCCGAGGCCCCCAAACCCGAGGCTTAGGTCTCCCCAGCCACCTTCCCACCACCCCTGTTGCAGTCGAGCCTGCCTGGCGGGGTAGACCAGGTTCGGACGCTGAACAGGCTCAGAAGGGAGCCTTGGGGAATGGCCTGAGCCCACCAGCTGGCCTACGAGACCGTATCTGTCTGCGGTTCTGTCGGTCCGGTCCGGTTGTTTCGCGGCCGGTTGCATTTGGTCGGTTTCATCATGTCGATTCTTGAGCGGTTTCGTTATTCTAGACTGGTTTGGGTCCATCCGTTTCGGTCGGTGTCGATTTCGCTGACGGTGTGGTCGGCTTTTGATGTGTGGTGTCAAGGTGGGCCCAGTGCCGCCGTCAGAATGGCCACAGATGCCCACGATGGCCAAAGGATGGTATCCCTCTCTCTTTCTTTCTCTCTTCGTCTCCCTCACTCCCTCTGTCTCCACTCTGCCTCATCTCTCTCTGTCTCTCTCTCTCTCTCTCTCCCTGTGTTTCCTATATACGTCTGGTTTCGTCTCTGTCGGCTCTGGCGACGACGCACTGTCGCAACGCCCTCCGTTACTTCCTCCCCCCATTCGGGGGAGCGTAAGACCCGGGTTTGCCAGGACTCGGGTTCGCCATCGTTTTTTGACGACCGCGACTCGGATCTTGACGAGGAGGAGTTTTGTGGGATGTCTGCAGCGGGAGGCCTCGTCAGAATGCAGGCTCGGCCTCGTCATTTTTTTGACGACCTCGTCGGGGACTTCCGAGTCCCCCGTACCCGGGTCTTACGTCTCCCCGACCCATCCGTGAGCTCCTCGTCCCCTCCTCCCTCCCCCGACAACGACGAGGATGACGGCGGCGACGACGACGACGGCGGCGACGACGACCATGGCGGCAACGACGACCACGTCGACGACCACGACGACCACGACGACGACGATGACGACGACGACGACCACAACGACGACCACAACGACGTCGAGGACGACGACCACGACCACGACGAGACCACGACGACGACGACGACGACGACTACGACGTCGACGACGACGACGACGACGACGACGACGACCACTGCCCTCCGCCGACGCGCCGAGGGCCTGCAGGTGGGGCGAGCAGCTCCAGCAGTGGCCTGCCTCCGCCCCAGGCCCGCCCCCCCCTGTGCCCCGCCCCTCCACGGCCGCGGTGGCTCCACGACCACGACGACCACGACCACGACCACGACCACGACGACCACGACCAAGACCACGACGACGACCACGACGACCACGACCACGACGACCACGACCACGACCACGACCACGACCACGACCACGACCACGACCACGACGCCCCATCCCCCTACTCGCGGTCGCTCGAGAGGCTGCGAGGCTTCCCTGATGCCTTTGGGAGGCATTTCTTTACAGTCGAACCATTGGTATACATGACCGAGGAGGACAAGGTGCCGATATTGCTACCTTTTCCCTTTTACTGTTTTTTGGGGCCCCCTTAAGAGGCCTTCGTCGTCATTGCTGGATTCGCCTCGAAATCCTGGTCAGAACGCACCCCGTCAGAGGTCCAGGGAGTAGCGATAGGGGTACCTTTTGTTTTCCCCAACATGTTCAACCTTTCCAAGGGTACTTTTGCATCTGTGCCTCTTCGGTCATCCTCGGTCCGGCCTCAACCACTTTCGATGGCCAGCCCCGCTCGAAAAGCTTCGGCATGGGCGTCCAAGGGGCTTGCATCCTTCTCACGCATCCTTACTATCAGTTTGACTGCATCCCCTGGCGACAACGGGCGTGACCCGGGGGTGGGGAGGGGCCGAGGGGGGCGGTCACGCCACGATGCGCGCGGGCGCCGTCCAGGATGGCTAACTCCCACACGGCGCCGGCTCGAATCATTACGTGACCAGGGGGAGGGGGGCGGTCACGGGCGTTATCGCGAATGATAACAACGGATTTTCTGGGGCCTCGTGGGGGTTCCGAGCCACCGCGGCTGGATGCGCCTCGAGGCCCTGGTCAGGCCCCGCTCGTGGGCGGGGTCGGGGGGGGCTATTCAGGAGGAGAAAAAACACACAGACACAATTAATCTGCGATTCCCAGAAAATATGGGAAAATATGGGAAGTGGGGGGGAAGACAGAAACCCAGAAAATATGGGGGATATTTTTATTTGTGTGTATTTATTTGTGTGTCCTAATTTCCCTTTAGCTATGCTTGCTGAGCCCCGAGCCCGGGTCGCCTCGGAAGGGGCGGGGTCCCGAAGGGCAGCGGCCATCCCGGGGGTTCTCGTCGCAGGTTCCCTGGCCCCGGGGGCGGGCTCTCCACGGGCCGCGCGGCCGCCCCCCTTCGGGGCTCCTCGCCGTCGTGCCGATGTTCCTCCGCGTTGGCGTGGCTTCGGCGAGCAAGATGCGGGCCGGGTGCGAGCTGCGCGTCGCGGCCCCCGCGTCGCGGCGCGGGGGGTATGCAGAGCCACAGGCCAGCTCTGATCGGGAAGACTCCTCGTTTTTCCACGCTTTCGGGTTCTGGAGGGCTCCAGGGCTGCAGCAAAACAGCCCAGGAGGAACTAGGCGGACCCAGAAGTGGTCGAGATCCCTTCTTATCCACCCCTCTGCCTCGGAGAGAGCCGTGGGGTAAGACATCCAACCCGCGTTAGTCTCTTCACATTCGCAAGCGGCCCTTGCCAGTGTAACCATTCCGCACGGCGCGCTTCACCCTCGACCTCGCGCGCGTGGGTGGTACGGCTGTTGATGGTCCTACCAGTAGGCGCTCGTGTATTGTCTTATTGCTTGTTGAGACGCAAGCGCGGTGCCGAGCCACTCCGATCCGATCCTTCTTCTATGCTCTTTTTCCTCCTCCATCTTCACCACCCTCTCCGAGGCCACAGCTTATACATACCGGACCCCCAGGCAGTGGATATCTGTCGATACGAGTTTGGGCCTCGCCACTCTCATCCTCCCGAGCCTGATTCTTGTCGCCGCCTCCCCAGAATCTCTTCACAACGTCGATGCCCAAAGGTCTCGACCCACTCCCTGGTACCAGTTTTTGATCCGGAGTCATTGTTTGATGGTCCCGAGGCCCGGAAAGGGCCCCCCAGAGGCTTAATCGGACGTCGTGTGAGGGGTGGGCGAGAAAGGGGGGGGGGGCAGCGAGGGTTGCGGAAAAGGTGCCCCAAAGGGCCCCTACAGGAGCCCTTTAGGGCTCCAAATGGGGGCCTTTAGGGCCCGAGAATTACACCTTTCCCCTCCCCCCATTTTCCGCCCCCCCCCAGGTTGCGACGCCCAAGCTGAACTATAGCGAAAAACCTTCCGTCGTGTCTTTCTCTTCGTGCCTCAGAGGGGGCCTGGGCCAGGTGGAGGTCCTGGCGAGCGGCGTCATGACGCAGACCCTGTCCCGCCCAGACCTCTTCGACGCCCCCACGCTGGAGGAGTCGACTACACGCAAGAGTGGCCCTTCGTCGGAGTGGCCTTTGGTGCGGGCCCCTTGGGGCCCCCCGATCGCCGAGTCCGATGCGATAGTAGCGGCTGGCTCGCTCGGGTTTGGCCCGCTCGGAGCCCCCCCCCCTGACCGCCGCGCTCCAGAGCTCAGTCTTGCCCAGGGGCACTAGGGGCACTCCTTGCGCGCAGCCGAAGGAGCAGCTGGAGGTGCAGCGGCGGGAGCAGGCGCGGAGCGCGGCCGCGGCGCCGCCGCAGCCCCCGCTCGTGGCGGCCGCAGCGTCGCTGACGTCGCGGGCTCCGAGAGGACGCAGCAGAAAGACCCGCTTGCGTGCTCCGTGGTGATGGGCCCACCTCCCACCACCACTGCCATTAGGCAGGACGGGGGAGAAGGGAGGATGGGGAGGTCTTCCTCCTCCTCATCCTCCTCCCTCTCCTACCTAAGGTAGTGGTAGTGGAGCATCGGTCCATCATCATGAACGGGGAAACGTAAGACTCGAGTTCGCTGGAACTCGGGTTTGCCGACGCTCTTCGACGAGCTCGTCGTGGGTTGTGAAGGTCCAGTTTTCGTGAGATGTCTGCAGCTGGACTTCGCGTCGAATTTCTGATTGAGTCCCTGACGGCCCCGTCAGGCCAACCCGAGTCCGCCGAACCCGAGTCTTACGTTCCCCCGAATGGGGTCCGAACGCAGAAGGTTGCAGGATGGTGCCGCATCGCCGACGCATCGGCGACGCGACTCGACGTGGAGCCCGATCTTCTCCACGCCGGCGTCGCCGATGCATCGCCAGCGTCGCCGATGCATCGCCGACGTCGACGATGCATCGCCGATGCGGCGCGATCCTCCGACACCATCTAATCGAACCCCAGCCGGGAGGCTTCAAACTTTGCAAAAAGACATGCTCTCTTCCGCGCCTGGGGTCATCGGAGGGACGTCACGACTTAAAGAATGGGGGCCACGACTGGCAGCATTTCCTGTCCGTTTGGAGCCAGGTTCGTTGTCGGTATCGTCGCGAACGCTGTCTGTGTGCGACGAAGGGTCGCCCGCCCAGCAGCGGCCGCTTTCAATGTCTGACATCAGTCGTTGTTGGACACCGTACCCGTTTTTTTCCGTACCCATGTCGGGCGTTCAAGGCGTCGTTTGGCCGGCTCAGGAGCAAAGGACGTCGGCGAAGTAGTTTCGTGCAACAGGCGATCCAGCATTCCACAGATTGGGAAGCGCGGGCGTCCGTGCACCGAGCTCTCTGACCGGCCAGACGTTTTGGTGTATAATTCTAGGTGTTCCGCGTCAGGGACGGGAACGATGCTGATGCTCCAAGTCTGCCGAATGGGGTCAGGGCAGATAGGTTTCAGGAGGGGAAGAAACACACAGACACAATTAATCGTCGATCCCCAGGAAAATATGGGAAAATATGGGAAGTGGTGGGGAAGACAAAAACTCAGAAAATATGAGAAAATATGGGGAATATTTTTATTTGTGTGTATTTATTTGTGTGTTTGTGGGCCCCTTCAAGGTTGGAGTATCGGGCTGCATCGCCGATGCACTGGCAGCGCGGCGCGATTCGGAGCCCGATCTTCTCCATCCCGCCGTCGCCGATGCATCGGCGGTGCGACGCGATCATCCGACCCCATGTGCTCTGGCCCCATCTGGAAGGCCTCCAGAGTCCAGATGTTGTTGCCCCACCCTCGCCGCCGCGGCTTGATTCGTGTCAAAATCCTAGTCAGAGGGCACCCCTAGGCGACTATAGTGTGTGTGTGAGTGGTTACGCCAGGGTGTGGTTTGCGATTGTCGCCGATGGGGCTTAGGGGGTCACCGCGTTGCGCCAAAGTTTTGATGAACCCTCGTCGGGGCGCGGCAGAGATCTCAGTCGAGGTACTCGCCCGCCCCCGCCAGGCGCGTGTTGCAAAACACACCCTCTGCAATCCACATTCTTCGGAGTCGCTGGGCCAAGGGAGCCGGGGGGAGCGCCACTGGGCGACAGCGCCGAAGCGATTCCCGTCCTCAACACACACGTCGCGCGCCGACCCCCCAAATGGTGCGGTGCACCGAAGGGGCGGGGTTGGCCTCCGTCGGGGGGGGGGGGGGGCGCACGCGTGTTACCGACAGCATGGTGCTAGGCCTCCCAGATGGGCAGATGGGGTCGGAGGATTGCCGCATCGCCGATGAAATCGGCGATGCGGCTCGGTGTAGAGCCCGATCTTCTCCAAGCCGACGGCGCCGATGCCTCGCCGACTTCCGCGATGCATCGGTGATGCATGAGCGATGCGGCGCGATCCTCCGACCCCACTATGCTCAGACCCCATTGTGAAGGCATCTAACAGTGCGGACGGTAGCATCACGCCACATTGTTACGGTGTCGAGGCCAGCCCGGGCGTTCGAGGCCGAACTTCGCGAGCCACCCGCATTCTGCCAGCGTCGGCCAGTGTGGAGCGTGTTCGGGTTTCGGGGGGAGGCGATCGTTCAGGGTTGAGCGATCCACGGAGTGTCAGGAACCAAGGCCCACGTCGTCGCGATGTGAGTCTGCTTTACTGGCACTGATGCCCTTCCTTCGTTTTCGCTGTTTGGGGGGGCTCCGGGGGTGCCCTTTTGGGCACGGTAGGATCCGCCTTGGAATCCTGGTCGGAGGGCCACCCACGGAGAGACCAGGGGGTGGCGGTAAGTATCGGCATCTTCTCGGTCCCCCAGGTTCGCTCTCCAGCCGGAGTCGACGCGGGCGACTCCGACATCTTCCGCGACGACATTCCAGCCGCCCGTGTGCCCTTCTTGCGCAGGAGGACGACAAGGGAGTGATCTTGACGTGTCTCCCCCCCCGTTTGGGGGCCATCGTCGCCGTGGCTGGATCCGCCTCGAACGCCTGGCGTGCTGCCACGCGGCGACGGCGGCGGGACCCCGTCGCGACGACGACGGCGATGACGATGACGACGACTGCGGCGACGACGACGACGACGACGACGACGACGACGGAGGCCGATTTTCTGAGCCCGATCGGCAGGTACATGACCGGATGGCCTGGACGCCAGAGGAGGAGCAGCGCCTCGTCGAGGGCCAGCGCAGGTTCGGCAACCGGTGGGAGACGGTCCGCACCACGTGCAACCTGCGGCACCGCACGGGCTCTTGGTCGCCAAGTCGTGGGCGGCTTCTCGCTTCCGAGTCCTAAGCCCCACCCACCGAGCAAAAATCGGGAATCGGGGACGCACCCCCAGGGGGCTCCTCCACACGTACACCTCGGGGACGCCCAGAGTCCTCGAGGAGGGAAACTCGGGGGCGCGCCCCCAGGGGGCCTATCCGGACACACCCATGTCGGCGCATGGACGCCCCCACCCCCATTCCATATTCCCGAGTTGGGCCCCAGATTATCGGTCAGGGATTCGGACCTCCAAGCCCCCTCTCGCAAGCATGAGCTCCCCGAGTCCTGCGCGGTTCTCTTGGGTCGGCGACGGACCCTTCTCCCCATCCCGCCCCCAGTTCGCGCAGCGCGCCGGAGGCACCGCCAAGGGGTGGCGGGGAGTGTCGGGGGCAACGCTTGGGGGGCGGATGGGCTCAGGGGGGATGCATCGACCCTCATTCGCTCACTCGTCGCCGACAGGCCTGATAGCCTTGATAGCTCTGATAGCCCTCCCCGCCCTATCAGGGACCTACCGACGATCTATCGGCCGATTCTCCCTTGAGCCGGTCCTCCCATAACGTTGCCCCTCAGAGTGGCGTCCAGCACCCAGGATCTCCGCGAGAGCGCCCCAACATGCGTGTCAATGCTTCTGCTTTGTGTCTTGCAGGCTCGCAGTTGCGGGAGAAGTTCCGCAACTTGCAGCGTGCCGGCGTTGTCTGAGTGCAGCTGTCTTGCCCGCCGCGTCATGGGGGGGCGATCAATGGGGGGGTAGCGAGGGCTGCCGAAAAGCGGCCCTTCAGGACCCCTACAGGGGGCCTGTATGGCCCGAAAGGGGCACCGTTCCCCCACCCCACCCCCATTTATCGCCCCCGCTTTCCAGCGACGCCCGGCCGTTGCGTGCGCGCCGCCAGCCCTGGGGTCTGAGGGGGGGCCGAGCGCTCTCTTCCCCCTCGCTGGAGGAGCCGCCGGTGCGGACCGCGGCAGCCCGACGGGGCTACAGGGGGGGGCTGCGCGCCCTGCCCTGCCCCGAGCTTCGGGCCCGCGCAGCTGCCAGGTTGCGGCGACGTGGTCTTGCTCGGTGCTGGCACATCCTCTGGCCGAAGAAGAATCGAGGACGCGCAAGACTCGAGTTCGCCAGAGCTCGGGTTTGCCGACGCTTTTTGACGAGCACGTCCTGCATTTTCACGGCCCAGTGTTCGTGGGACATTTGCAGCAGGAGTTCGCGTCATTTGATTGATGGCCCCGTCAGGCCAATCCGAGTCCCTCGAGCTCGAGTCTTGCGTCTCCCCGGAAGAAACATTTGCATACACATGAACTGTTGGAGCTCCGTGCGGATTTCTTGGGTCGGCGCTTGACCCCCCTCCTTGTCGCGCGGAGCGCGCCAGGGTCGTCGCAGGAGGCGCCACCAGGGGGGGGCCCAGCGCCGATCCAAGAAGTCCACGCGGAGCCTCGGCAGTTCATGCTCATGCCGTTTTTGGTCGATCTGGGCCTCCCAGCCAGATGGGGTCAGTTTAGCGCGCCGCATCGGCAATAATTACATCGGCGATGCGGGTCGATGTGGAGCCCGACTTGCTCCGCGCTGACGTTGCCGATGCATCGCCGACGTCTCCGATGCAACGCCGATGCATCGGTGATGCGTCGACGATGCGGCGCGGTTGTCCGGCCCCATCTACTCCGACCCCATCTGGGAGGCACCCCTTTCTTGATTCTTGCCTCCAGGGGCCGCCTTGGGCTCCTGGACCTTCAGGCATGAATCCGGGTCGAACAAATGCATTTCACGAGAAGGGGTCGGGATCTTTGCTGGGGCTCTGCGGCGCAAACAGGCAGCTATTATGGTAATATCCACGGCCTCGCGGTCTGGACTCGTTGGCCGCAACCCCTCGGATGTGTTATTCGGCTTTGCGTGGATGCTCCACATGGAACGCACCATGGGACTGTGTATCCATGGGGTCGTGCCTTGGTGTCCACACGGTGAGAGCATGGATATGGATACGCTCGTCGCTCGCGAAGCTCTACGCAGCACACCACCACTGGCCCTAGCCGAGGCTGGGAGGGCGTAGTCACAAGTCCAGGATCCAAGACAGGCTTGGTCTGGCCCGGCGGTGTGTATTCGACATCCCTCAAGGATCCACCACCTCCCAACAAAAAACGCCATCCATTGGAATTCAATGTTCCAGACTCCCCGGGGGGGGCGCCTTGATATTCAGCCCCCCCTGGCAAAATTGAAAGTGAATTTCATGATGATGGCCGCGCTGGCGATAGCGATGGCAACGGATGGCGGCCTTGAAGGCTGGCGTTCAGGAAAACTCAGTGGCACTTACTCAACTTGTGTTCGCCACGGGGGGAGGGGCGGGGGAGTGGGGCGAGAAGTCATCGAACGGCCTTCCTTCGGCCCATCCCGCCAGCTTGCATGGGTTGTGGGTCATAGTGTCATATGCCTCTAGGATGTTCGCTGAGATGTCGTGGGAGGCTTCTCGGATGCCTTTTGAGAGCCGTTGTGAAACCTCTTGGGGCCGTTTTGGGGCCTCTCTCCGTGGGCCTTTGTGGGGGCGTCTTGGGGGCCTCTGGGGACGTCTTGGGGGCCTCTTGGAGCCTCATGGCTGCCTCTTGGGGCGGAAGGCTCGGATTTTTGGTTCGTGTTCCCCCTCTTGGGGTCGTCGTGGGGCCTTCTTGGGCCGTCTTGGGCACCGGGGGGGCGGGCGAGAAGTTTTCGAAGACGCCTCCGGCGAATCACCGCCAGCCCGTGTCTTCTTGGAAGCGCCTCTGTGGCCGAAAGGTTGGCTAGAGCTTGGCCAAGCTATCGGACCCATGTGTTCCCCAGCCTTCGATGAATCCCTTCGGGGAAAATGAGGACGAGGAAAATGAGGATAAAATTGGGAAGTGAGGAGGAGGAGGATTGTCAAGGCTGTCTCTTAGGATACGGGTCGAGTATTACGTACCATGCTCGTGCCCTGGCATTTTTTATGTTTCGGATGGGTATGGGTCTCTGCCCCCCTTTAACTGATTGGTTGCTTACAGCAACACACTCGCTTACATGAAGCTTCCAATCATCGAGCCTCAATGTTTTGGCTCGATGATGCACCTGCCCCTAATGGTAGCCCACGAGTGTGAAGCACAAGATGCAGCTTCCCTACGGGCCGCCACCCAACTGTGCATCATGTTTTGCCTTCCCGCTCCCCCCCTGATACTTACCAGGCGCGGTGTCGCCCCACGACTGAACACGAGTGTCAGACATAAGACATAAGCGAGTACATAGACCTGCACGCTCTGACACGAATTAGAAGCCACCTTTCGCCCAAAGGGCTGTCCTACGACTGCGAAACACTGGTTACATTCGGCCCCTGGATCGCCCCATTACTGCGAAGCTCATTTTAGTCACATGATTTCATGGCCGCACCACTCCTGTGCCCGTAAGGATGTCCGTCCCATGGCCAGCCTGCACATAGAATTGCCAAGGCTTACCCTCCCAGCGAAGGGCCACCACAAGATTGTAAAGCACGGTTATCGTCAGAAGGGAGGGGTGGAGCATAAGAGGTGTATAGAGGCAGCCCCCTCCATAGGGGGGCCCCGCCGATTTTGCGACACCACTCCCCTACGCAAAAGTCACAAAGTGGCCGGCTCCCCGCTCCTCCATGAGGCAACCTTTCAACACAGAATTTCGATCCAATTCCATGGGATAGTTTCCAAGATTCTAACGCGGTATTGCCGCGCATAGTTTCAGTCGACCTTTCGACAAGTCCAGACCTCGATGGGACGATAGCGATTGGGGACGATGACTTGACTTGTCTGCCTTGGTTCTGCCGCAGCGTTAGGAGGTGGCCTATTTCACGTTCTGCCTCTGTCTGTTCGTTGTTGTGTCCAGGGGCAGCGATAGCAATGCGGGTTGTAGCCCCGCGTCTCTTTTACATAAATTCGTGCGCAGGCACTAGTTCGTCAAGAAGAATCGCGTTCCTACGCCTGTGCAACGGGTGTTACCAGCCGTGACACGGGTTAAATTGAACCGAGTGTGGGCGTCGGCGGGGCGGTCCTTGTAGTCCGCACCGAGCTTCTCCACCCGCACCCCTCCCGATATACAAGATTCAGCCACGTTTCATGCAAACAAAAATAATGCCGTCTGGCGCGGTTGTCACGAACATTGCGTGCCCAGTTTGCTCAGCGCGCAGCAGCAACTTCGCTGAGCAAGGCAAGAAGGGGGGATCGCGCAGCGTGCGTCTGAGGCACCTTTGGCACGCCAATTGTATGCGTATCCACCTGAATTCGTGTCCATTGTTCAGAGGCAGTGGCGGGAAAGGGGGCCTCACCTACGCGAGTCCTGGATCTCGGCCGCGTTCGCTGGGTGAGCCGTTGCTGGAGGAGGGGGTGGAGGCGAGAGTGTCGGATTGTGCGCGTGACTTGGACGCGGTCCCGCCCTGGTTGGCTGGGTCGGCTGGGCCCCTGTTGGGGCACTCACCTGGGTAGATGCCAAGTGTTGCCCCACAGAGTGCCCCACGATTGCGAAGCACCATTGTATGCGCTGTGACTGCCTCTCTGACGAGAGATATTACTCGAACCGATCGGTCTCACTACAGTACTGCCGCTTTTAATCATCCCTATGAAAAGCCGCCCCACGACTGGAGCACTGTCATCGCCCCGAAACAACTCAACCTTGAGGGGCGCTTGCCGGGGCCATCCTTGGAGGACCATAAAGCCGCCCCCAATCTGCCCCAAGACGTGCCTCACGATTGTGAAGCACCACCATTAACCTTGAATGCGCCGTGGCCTCCTCTTTGCTTTGGGGGCTTCGGAGTCAATGCAATCTCCCGCCCAAAGGGCTGCCCCCTGATTGCGAAGCAAATAAAACCATTTGTCCCAGAGCCACCCCACGATTGCGAAGCACACTTCTAATGGGCCTTGCCACGACTAAGACCGTAAAGAGGTCCGTCCCATTGACGGCCTGCGCAGAGAAGTGCCTACTGCACCTGAAAACTGCATAACATTTTGGGTCAGCCGCCGGGGCGGGCCTTCCTCGGAGGTCCGTAATGCCGCCGGTGGGGCATGCTCTCTTCTGCTAGATATGCTGCAAGGCTAACCTTATTTACCCAGCGCGCTGGGCCCCTCATAGTTCCCCCCTAGGTAATCCTTTTCGACTCCTCGCTCGGCAAATAATGAAATGAGCTCCGCGAAGCACAACTGCAACGCTGGGTAAAAGCTTTTCCTCTTTGGTGACCAGTCAGGTGGGGCCTGTGGCTCGTCAGCCTGACTGGTGGTCCGCCGTGGCACTTCCTGCGTTGGTTTGGTTTTTGATTGAGCAGCCACCTCCTGCTGGGGGCGTACTTATCCACGCGGACGACATTCTTCAATCGTAATGTTTGACCCTCGGGTGAGGCCACCCAGGTTGGGCCTGCGGCTGGGTGGTCAGCGATAACACTTCCCGAGGTGGTTGGGCCTTGGATTGAGCAACCAGCCACCTCGCGCTAGTGGTGTGAAACCCCTCCCATAGGCCCCCCCGCAACCGACCCCCCCCACGGCGCGGGTCCTCCCCACGATTGCGAGGTGCGCTCTCTGCGTGTCTCATTACCAAGATACCTCAATGAGAATTCCTCCCATAGGGCCCCCCCCGGCACTCATCGCCCCGCAAGGCGCGCGCACTCCCCGCGACTGCGAAACGCGCAGTTAATTCATTGAGGTGCTCCCTACAAGAAGTGCGCAGTACACAGTGAAGCAGACAGCCCCACGGTAGC